AATGGATGGATATGCAGCTGGTGCAGACAGTACCTGTTCAGCGTCGGTGTTTACAGAATGTTAACGTTCGTCAGTGTGGACGCACACATCTTTATAGCAATCTCTATAGTTATTAGTGTGGACGGGCCATAACAGGAAAATTGGTTAACGCCTGACTGTCAGAAGAAAAGAACAACAAAAGCATCACAGCACATGTGCTGTCTAATAGGGGGGGGGATGTGGCCCAGACATGAAAGATAAGTCCAATTGAAGTGCATTGGTTTGAAATTCGTGGTGGGGAACACAAAAAAGTTGGGCAATTCATGTCCCTGGACACAAATCAATAGATTAAGTTTTGTGACTATATTTCATGAATTGCCGTGAGACTGGGTTGTAGTGTTCTATAACCATTAGAAAGAGGATAAATGTAAAAGTAAGGTTTTTTAAGTCACTGCTTAGGCATGACCTTTTTTCTCTCTCTCTGGGTGGCTAACCACTGTGAGTGTTTTGGGGATTTTTTGATTTGTTGCCTTTATTCAACTTAGAATGTGTCAACACTTGTCCAGGATTAGTGCCCACACTTGCTCTACTTTCTGCCTCTGTGCTGTTCCTTCTTCTTCCTACAACATGGCTATCTCTGTGACTTATTAGGCTGCTGCCTTCAGTCTATATAGGAACTCACAGAAACACATTGATTTGTTAAAATGCTGTCTGACGAACATATATGTCTTTGTACACAGTCTGCAGTAGTTGTATTTATGACAGGGCAGCCTTTGAAAATTAAAAATAGTACCTTGAAAAAGTATTTGCCCCCTTCTCGAATTTTTAAAAAAATATATTTCCCCCACTTAAATGTTTAAGACCATCAAACAAATTTAAATATTCAACAAAGATAGCCAAAGTAAATACAAAATGCAGTTTTTAAATGATTTAATGTTTTAAGGGAAAAAAGCTATCCAAACCTACCTGGCCCTATGTGAAAGGCAATTTCCCCCATGTTAAATCATGAATTAACTGTGGCTCATCACATTTTTTTGGAAAGCTGAGTTCAATTTCACTGACTGCACCCAAGTCTGATTACCTCCAGACCTGTTCAATCAAGAAATCGCTTAAATAGAACCTGTCTGACAAAAAGAAATCGGTCAAAAGATCTCAAAAAGTTGCAACAAAATGCCACAATCCAAAGAAATTCAAGAACAGATGAGCAATAAAGTCAAAATCTGTCAGTCTGGAAAGGGATACAAAGCCATTTCCAAAGTTTTAGAACCCAAGCGAACCACAGTGAAAGCCATTGTCTACTAATGGAGAAAACATGGAGCAGTGGTGAACCTTCCCAGGAGTGGCCGTCCGACCAAAATGACCCCAAGAGCACAGTGATGACTCATCCAGGAGGTCACAAAGGAACCAAGGACAACATCTAAAGAACTGCAGGCCTCCATTGCCTCAGTGAAGGTCAGTGTTCATGACTCAACAATAAGGAAGAGACTGGGTAAAAATGGCATCCATGGCAGAGTTCCAAGGCCAAAACCACTGCTGACCAAAAAGAACATAAAGGCTCGTCTTACATTTGCAAACAAGCATCTGAATGATCCCCAAGACTTCTGGGAGAATATTCTACGGACTGACAAGACGAAAGTTGACTTTGTGGCAGGTGTGTGTCTCGCAACATCTGGCGTAAAAGTAACATAGCATTTCAGAAAAAGAATATCATACAACAGTCAGGCATGGTGGTAGTAGTGTAGTGGTCTGGGGCTGGAACGATGTGGCCCTGCAAGGAGTTTTTGTCAGGGAATGGGGTTTCTGGGCTGTGTTTGTGATTTCTCCTGCAGGTTTTCCACCAGAGGGTGTCTTGGGGAACTTTTGCTGTGCTGGGGCTCATTCCTTGCAGGTGTGTTTTCTACACACCTGCAATTCATCAGGCTCGTCACTCCGTGGATAAAAGGAGCTGT